GGTATTTTAAGATAGTAGGTTGAATCAATCCTATCCCAAATACCACTCTGGTATCTGTGAGACAAAAATTTGATGTCATTGACGTAAAACGGTTGCTTGTTTTGTATCGTTGGCTGATTCTAGCTGTTTATGAACGATACCAAAAAAATACAGAGAAACGTCACGTAGCTTATTTTCGGGCTATTCCGCTTCGAGCACGTGAAGAAGTGCTTAAATGGTAGGCCTTGTAATCCATATCCAGAATATTTTATTTTATTTTTGCTTTATCACCCTGAAAATTGCACTGGGTGCTTTTAAATACAGTTAAATACAGTGGTATGATATACCAGAACCTCATTTTCCCCGTAATGTACTGCAACCACATTCCACCGACTTAAATACGGCCGTACATCATGTCAGACTTATCTCTCTGTCTGTTCAAAACTGTTTGAATAGAATGTGGTGGCGGCTTCAGATAAGAAAAAAAAACTATTTAAAAAATGCCATTATGTGTATCGAAAGATATAACTACTAGTAAGTGCTTTCCGGCAAGAGGGTCGAGACAAATGCAGTTATAATTACCTAATGTCTGTCTCGGTGACGGAAGCGAGAAATAAACTTAATTTTGATGTGTAATTTCTACGCATCCGAACATCCAGGTGACACTTGAATCTTTCTCGGGACCACTAAACATTCAGTGGTAACAAGACCTAAACTTTTCATGAAATATATGTTTCGAATGCTGGGATTGAGTGAGACCAATTAAGTATGTAACAAATGGGCTAAGGAAGTACCATTACCCGTAGGAACTGCAATTTCACATGCAGATAAATGCATCCTATGTACGGTTTAGCTCGATAATGACAGCTAGATAAATGGAAAGAAAAATACTTTTTAAGATGGCGTCATTGTGTCTAAGAGCAATGCCGTCTTCTGAAAAATACGGGATTTCCTACTAGTCAACACAAAGATGCCTATGATCTGGACATTGCTGTTTCAATCGTTTACACTTATTATTATAACATTCTGCCCGTTCTAGTGGAAGTTCGTTATACCTGCCAAAAGTGATGAAAGACGCCGCCGGTGTGTACCAGTGCTTAGCGGACAACGGTGTCTCACCTGTTGGAGTCGGCACTGTGAGCCTCGATGTCCTATGTAAGTACTCAATTCAATAGTACCAAACTTCCTTACCTGCAACTTTAGGTCCTCCTGTGCCTACCGGCACATTGGGAAACAAGTTTGACAAACATGTACTGCGTTGCTCATCCAATGCTAACTAATTTAATCGTATGTTGCTCTTCCGATGGTAATAATTTAATTTCTATATAAGGGTTTCCATTTAGGGGATCTTGTCGATCAATGATGGAAAAGCCTCTTTAAGATCTATACATATCATATATCAGTTACGAAGTTACAGTTACAAATGGCAATGGTAAGACTAATCAATATCATTTGTCATATTTACTTCAGATCCTCCTGGAATAGATCATTCCATGGAACAGAAAGTCACGGTTCTCTACGGGCAGGACGATTTCTCACTCGAGTGCCTGGCCTACGGGAACCCGAAACCTCGAATCCGGTGGCGGCGGAAGGATACAACCCTGTACTGGGAAAACCCGCTTCGCTTCCACCGGGTGCGTTACGACGTGGAGGGGACGTATCAATGCGTGGCAACTAGTGACGGATTTCCACAAGCAATAAGGGATGCAGATGTTGACGTCGTAGGTACGACTGCTATTAATTTCCTGCAGATCTAGAGATTACGTGAATCGATATTGCTAAGCTCTTTTGTTCCTGTGTTCTATTATGTGTTGCGTCAGCCTGCTGAATAATTAAATGTTCTTTGTTGGGAGACTTACGTGGGTAAAATACTGATAACTAAATAAATTAAAGGTACCCAAAGCGATTTCATGGCAGTATATTTTACAGTCAATTTTCCTCAAATCCTATACTGTTATCTGTAAATGCAAAATGTGTTGTTGCTGATGGAAAACGGTTTCTTTGCTGTTTCTATCTATTTATTGGTGGTACAAAAACAATCTAACGCAACAATTTTTATAGTATTAAATGATAACGAAAATGTGCTATGGAACGGCAGTATATGTTTATGACTGATGTCCTCATCTTGAATACATTTTCCTTTGCAACCAAAAACTTTTTGCTTTGCAACAAAAAATGGCCGTGGTCGCCTTTACTTCAGCAACAAATATCTCTATGCAGGACGCCCAATCATGGTTGGAAAGCGGACGGGGAGCATGATGTCTGTCATCTCTGGTGGAATAGCAAGACTTTCGTGTGACGTCATTGCGGATCCACTGGGGGACAAGATAGCGTGGTCCTGGCGTGGTACCCGGGGTCAGGAGAAGGACCTGCGGTCTGGACACAACGGCATGACCATCGCGGAAACAAAAGGCGGTCAAAGCAAGTCTTCCGCCTTAACAATCTCCATGGTCTCAAAGGCGCACGAGGGAACATACACCTGCAAGGCGTCCAACATGTTCTCAACGGTACAGCGTGACATCAAACTTGAAGTTAAAGGTACCAAAAGTTCTTAAGATATCTTTAGAAAGATAACTAAGATAACTAAAAAAACTTTCAGATTTAACTGAATCTTTGGAGAAACTTTATGATTTGCAAATTTAGTACAACTTTATTGAGGTAACTTGTCTTATGTGATCTCGATGTACATGTATCTTCTTAATTATTTATATGACTAAGAACATCTGATCATCATTATTCATGAGTATGTTTTTACTTACAGAGACGAGCAAGACCCTGTTTATCACCATCGTTGTCGCTGTTTCGGTGACCGTTTTAGCTGTCATTGTCGTGAGTTGTTTATTAATCATCAAACGACGAGGGCAGAGACACAGCAAGAAACGTCCAGGTAAGATCTTCATGAAACGTCAAGAAGAAAGTGATCTCAATTCAGTTTTAGCTCACTGAAGAGCTCATCATTCACTTATTGTTAGAGGCTAAAATATGTGCCATATTTACAGTATCTTGGGGCATTGACGTTTTGTTACTGGCCCCTTTGTTTTGTTACGCGGCCATTCTCCTACAATGTAGCATTTAGACAAATACAACAGTGGACCAGAGCTGAACGTCCCGTCCTAATAAAAGACCGTGAAGCTCTAAAGTAGCGCACATGTAGCGTGAGCAACAAAAGCTGGGATTTGAACCCTCATCCTCTTTATCCAGAGTCAGGGTGTCAGGGTCGCTATTGCCTAACCACTGGAATTCTACGTTAAACATAATATGTATGCACACAACCCAGATGTACAAAATAATATTTTTGTAACAATATTTTTTTATTCAAGATCATCATACATATCCACGAGAAACGTGAATGAAGAATCTGTCTCAATGACCCTGCTTACACTGTGATCTTCGTGTGTTTGTAGCATTGAGATTAAAGGAAGCATCTCGCCCGATGCCGCCAGTACCAAAGTACGTCAAGCAGACCGGCACCATTGACTCCGGTGTGGAGGACCTGGAGCTACAGGAGATGGACGGCACACTCAAACCTCGTCCTCCGCGTAGAGTTAACAAGACCGACTGGACATCAGTGGGCCTTACCTACTCTGGTATGTTCTGAAGAGGAAAACAGTTGGTTGTTTGTATCTTTACCATGCAAAAGCGCTGTTTTGAAAGTTGTTCCATATGATTCTATATTCCCGGTCATGCAGGTCTGGTTCACGCAGCTTCTCTGCCACCTTACGCGACCATAGAGCGTCACCAGCCTGATGGGGAGGATGGTATCGGATTCGAAGAAGAAGTAAATACCTTTGTTCTTTAAGCTGTTGTTTCAAATTATTACATGTTCAAACTGAAAAAGGAGAGCCAATGTAAGCCTCTATCAGGCTTCAGAAACGGCAAGACAGACTAGAAATTGGCAAAATAGAAAGATGACATGCACAGACAGTTGCAGTAATTTTATTTTGCCATTCAGAGCAGCAAAGTGTGCTCCTTTAGTCGGCCATCTGCCCTGCCACTTTATCTGTCAATTGGCCAATCCCTGCTCTTTTCAGTCCCCCTAGCCTCTGAATACTGGTAGAGGCTACTTTAATACCGATATTTTTATTTCGATTCTAGTCTAGTATATATTAATACAGAAAATGCTGCAATAGAAAATATTCTTGAGTAAAGAGACTCTTTTTACACATTCAAGTCTTTTATTTACAGCCGACGTTTCGGGGACCATCTGTCACCCTCTTAATGGCAATGTTGTCATGACTGGTTCACATTGCACTGCAGCACAGGTTTCGCTGCTAGGGATTTATTCCAAAAAGTACAATATTTACATATCCACACATATACGTGGTTACAGGGAACTGTATCTACAATGCGATCCCAAACGTACTGTAAAAAGACTCTTTTCACTCAGTAACTTACCAACCTGATGAAACTATTCACAGAAAATATTCTTTCTTCTGGTCATGCAGCAGACGCCGCTTGCCGTGCCTCCCAAACCGAACCTCAGACGTTTGCAGCCAACTCCGACCTCTCCGTCAGGCGGCTGCGGCAGTCGACCACTGACAACAAACGTGGACAACATGTTGTAGGTCACTGTGGAAAAACGTGGACAACATGTTGTAGTTTATTGTATATGTAAGCACTGTCTTTGGCAACAGGAGGGTAGGTAAAACCCTATTACACACGATGGCAAGTACGTTCAAACTGCTGAAAATTGTAAGTATCATGTACCCCACAATAATTGATTTAACCATCAATTATGGTAGTAAATACCAATAAAGTCGTTTATTTTTACTTTATAGACAGTGTCGGACTACAATGGTAGTAAATAAAAGTCAATTGCGGTAATTTCATTTACTACAATGTCAAGTCCGGCACAGTAAACATAATTCGACTTTACTTGAATTTGCTACCATGATTAAATCCAATCGCGGCGATACATTTGTAGCAAGGCTACATTGGGATTCATGTACTCTTCCTTAGTTAAAAAAATCAATTCCAACACACTAAGGCTTAATGCTGCACGCCAATTAGCCCAGATACCTTCCATTTTCTGTTGAACTATCTACACCTGTACGATAAATCATACCTTGACTTCAGACAGAAATTCATTTTGGAAAGACGACGCCACCACTGGCACACCGCTGGCAACAATTCCCTATGGAATCAGGCAGCATGTTTCTAAGCAACTTCACAGCTCGTTATTATATTGCCGAATGGCTTTCTTAGAGGATAATAACAGAGAGGTATGCATTAGTTTTAATCTTGTACATAAAATAACCCTCAAGGTTAAAGCCATTAGAACTCTTCCGGGAACAGAACACTCGATGGCGCACCAGTCCAGCTTGCCAGGTTGTCTATTGAACATAAAACTTTGCAAATAAAACATGCCGTTTTGAAAAAAGTCACGCTCTAGAATATAGATGCATCAACGTAATGGTTCCCCACTGCCTCCTATGTCTAATTCAATTTTGCTTGAATGTCCTTAAAAGATCTCCTGTTCACGCAAGGGTTTTTATGCCGTTGGGCACGAGTCTTTCACAAGATTAAATGCGTTCGTGTAATATGTAATTCCTACCTAGATTGACGCTGATACATTTTTTTTTTAATACGGATATACGTCCCTGAATGACAACCTTGATAGGGGCCAGTAACAAAACGTCATTTTATCCTTCGTTGGTTTCTTCTGCAATAAGGTTTTACTACAGGAAAGTTATGGTAATTGAAATAGAATATGTTATTTCCGTATGTCCCCTTATGGTCGTAACTGAATTGTTTGAATGGTCTTTGTTACCAAGCCAAAGACCATTTCATAACCATTCATGACGTCTTTTTCTCTGGTTTCGATTTTCAAGACATATAAAAGTGGCCTCGTAAACTGTTACAGCAGTTGTAGAGGACCTTGGTGGCTATAATTCCTTTAAGATAGTGACGTTTATTACATATATAAGGACAGGGTGAGTATAATTAAAACATCTATTGTTAAAGTGGGTGACACTCTATAATGGTTCAGGGCTACATCTGAGAGTGATAATGAGAAAAGTGTCCAGATATCGATTGAATCACTTCTTTGTGACAGAAGCAAAATTGTCGTGAACAAAATGACCCACGTTTATTTAAGAGACGCCATTATAGTTTTCCATTTATGTGCTATTTTGCAATATGCTTTTGTTCTATTATATATATATAGATTGCTATATAGATAATAACTGGTGTCACCATTTCACCCCGACAGGTAATTCTGTGCGTTCCTGTTATGTGTCTTTGGAGCCTAAGGTCTAAGTAATAACGTGTTGTTATTAATATTGTAAAACATATACTGGCAATGTAATTGCAAAATATCAACAGAGACACGTTCGGTTGTAAATAACACCATTGCAAATATCCTTGCATCGCATTTTGCATAGAAAAGAGTTGTTTGTAATTAGATGGTATACTACATGATGTCATAGTCTACACATACATGTATATTCCAGATATTTGTAACCTGTAAGCTACAACTATGAGTCTCAAATACTATAAATGCTGTATTGATGAGTAATTAAGTAGTTAAGCAGTATTCACGGTAAAAATACGTATGTACATAATATGTCCCAGAGCACTATCAATTTACGTGTATAAAAGATAACGTTGTCCTTGCTGTATCTTGCTGTATACTAAAATATACGTGATTGTGTACTTGTTGCTATCATCGGGCCTACCTAATAAAATCAGTCCCTTTTCTCATTAGTAAAATGGAATAGAAATAAAATTTGCTTGTCTTAAAATGTGTCTTATAATGGTCATGGCATATATATCAACTGATAATATGCAATGTATATAATGGTACTTTAGTGTATTTTACAGTCTAGCGGAGGGACCAAGTGTAAACAATAAAATTAATTAAATAAATAATTAATAATTAGCTAATAATATTTAACGTACATTATTTATTATTAATACATAACTTTGTTAATTGTTGGGCCCATGATATTGTAGGGTGGATTTTACATGTCCTAGTGGAGGAAAATGTTCATACCCTTGTACTTTCACCTACCATGCTATGACGCTATATTATCACGTACAGGTGATAACCGCAGAAGGAACCCAGAGTATGGACCATTCCAACCACCAATCGATCACTCCTACTACGTTAACATCAAAGGCTTATCCCCCTGATGCCCCCTCTTATCAGGATTTGTATTCCTCTGCTCTCTCTCTTGCCCGAGAACATGGTCTCCACTGGATAGTATCACAGTGGTTAATATGTATGATTTATTGGGTCCAACCGCATACCACAGACATTCGGTACAACGATAGCATCTACGATAACGTTAGACTCACTGGGACTCTACCATCCATGACGATCCTTCGGCACGTATCTGATCTTGCGTGGCTTTTCTAATGGAGATGCTTTAAATCATTACCCATCTATTGATCACACATTCCCTCAGAAGCACAATGTCAAACGGTCGGTGCCCCTGTATTTATTACAAGCGATTCCTGTAGCGTTGACACCCACCCCAAAGGAATTAGAAGTCACTTTAAGAGGAGCATGCATTTTCATTATTGCATATTTGTGCAGAAACTAGACTGCACGTATGCCTTAATAATACACTCTCAAAGGACACAACAAAGAAGTGGCTATGTTGTCATTTACTAAATAGATTGATGTGGCTAAATTACCTGAGGTTCATGGCAATAATTGTCGAAGAAAAGTGGCAATTGACATTTAATTGTAGGAAACATAGGATGATCATCATGGATTTTGGCATTTATATGTACGTATTCTACACACGGAATCGTGATATTTTCATAGCTTTGAGTCTTTCAGAAAGAATAATTTGAAAATCGCTTTCCTCGGATCATGCCAGGGGATTTGGTCCCAACGATGCTGCATCAAAAGGGCTGAAGTCGATAAATTTCACGGTCGTCATCCATAAATGTCACTTAAAGCTACGAGGACAATTTCATGACATATCCCATAGGAAATGTCTAGTGGCACCGCTAATTAGAGGGAAGCACATGCACTATTCATTTCCCTCAGTAGTGTACTTACGGCACAGTACTGGAATAGCTTCAAATTGGTGTTACAAGATGATACAAATTGATACTTTAGGTAATACCAAGGATTGTTAAGGGTTACTTTGTTGTAAAGTCACTAAACGAGCTCAAACCATTATAATCTATAAATGTCTCTTAGACACGAAAAACAACAATTACTTGGAAATGAAGAGAATTAATTGAACATTGTTTTCAGTGCATTTTTACTGCTAAGGTTAAAGGCACCCGATGTCATTTTAGAGCAGCAAAACAGGGAATATTCTGAATAAGGCAATCTTTATGATATTGACACATGCTGCGTCACATTAGCACATTTCAATCCGCATTTAATACCTTTAATAGGGTATTAAAAATTGCAGAAACAAGCCCCGAGACGAGACCTTTTTATGGGTTGTACATCAAAAATCAGCCAAGGGCCCTTTCAGTAACCGTTTGCTGTTAAAATTTTGGGTATTTTTGCTTCATGATGGTCAAAATACATTGTACATTGAGATAATGTGGTTTCAACTCAGCATATAGATGAGTGACTAGAATATTGAATTTAAATAAAATGGTTTCCAAGCTCTAAACACTGCAGCATTGGATGCCTTTGAAATGCCCAATTGATTGATTGGGAAGGTACTGCAGCTGATGATTAAGGAGGGACCTTTATTTCTATCATGCTGAGTACATCAAGGAAGCACCCATAACAGCAACTACCAAGTGTACTTTGTCAACATCCCCAAAAGCTTAAGTAAGATTTACACGTGCAGACAGGCTCCTGAGCGTCTACACTGCGAAATACATTAATTCACTCTGGCAGGTATTCCCCAAAGTTCAGCCGGCAAAGGCCACGAGGTACGTACGTGTAAAGCATACAAAATATCCACGTTATCTACTACAATTACTGAATCGTTTTACCTGTAAGCTTTTAAATGATCTGCGTTGTATTGTGATACCAATAGACCACAGGGCTTAGGACATCATCTTAATTGATCAAAAGGAAAACTCGGCTTCAAATGTGAAATAGCCTGAAACGACGATTGAAGGCAACCACGCACTCTAAAGCTGTTTCCTTGAGACAAATGGTGACTTTTTCCTCAATGCTTAAGGCAGTGCTATGTATTATTCAAGCATGCACATTTGTATTGTACGGAATGACAGAGACATTGCCCTTTGCATCAACTATCACCAGACCTCGGAAGCATGTGGTATAATTTTGAGTTAGTTACGGTCAAAACTCGGTGACCATTTCCATCTTTGACGCATTTTGAAAACCAAATAAAATGGTAAACGGCTCGACGTAGAGTAGCATTTCTAATTATCCTCATTATATTTGAATCTTACATTAGAAACGTTACAGGCAAAGCCCAAGCGTTTCTATTTGTTTCGAGCTGGTTTGCAAGCATACATATAATGGGGAAGTCGCAAGGTGGCGGCTAGATGACTACCACTGGAGGAAGCAGGTGCTTTACATTCAAGGGGAAACCAGGCAACATCATACGCACTCATCGTATTCATGTCTTGAGACAGCGTGTAACAACGCCCCCTCTGAGAAGAATCTGGAATTTCAGGAGATACACATTTTAAAATTTCGCAAGGTTTGCACACAGGGACACACAAACAATTAATTTCTGGAATTCTATACCTAATCATAGCATAATGCCATACGATAACACACGGTATATGTTACCCTAAAATGTGGAAGTTGAAGAGAATAATATGATATCGTGATGATGGCTGAACTATGCATCCTGTACATTTGTCACCACACAAAAAGTGGTAGTAAATACCAGTTGAATCGGTAATGTTTACTTTGCAAACAGTATGGGACTTAACGTATTTCATTGACAAATTTGTTGAGTCCAATATTACCAAACTTGACTTTTATTTACTACCACTGTAAAACCCAGTACTGACTACATGGTGAATATTACACGGTATTTCTGTCATGGTAATTGGTTATTCCAATGTTTCATGTTGTGATCATATCCCAGCGTCACGTGCAGTGCTGATGACCTTGCATCTATGGCCTATAATAGTACGAATTGACCGAGGACAAAGAAAATTCATTGGTCATCGAAAGCAAATTGAAGGGTGATTTCATGTGATCTAATTATATAAAGAGGAATTTGCAATTGGCTTTTCAGTGACATCTTAATCATTATTACTTCGAGTAGCCTTTTTCTGTGACATGATGTGTATTCCATCATGGCATACATAAATTGTACATGCTGTCTTCATATCTGATTATCTTCGGTCTTGGAATTACATCTGGGTCACGTTTTGCTCCAGTTCATCTGAGAGGCCAGACTAAGGTCTTATCAGAATTACCGTACATACAACATCCATTAGTAAAATGTAGCTAACCTATCGTCTATAAAAGTGAAACGTTTTTTTTTTTACCACGGCGAAGTAGATATACATCCGCGGGAAGGTACTGTTTTCGGTTATGTTTGTGTGTTCGCAGCTGTAACTCACGGTAGTTTTGACTGATGTCTTTGATTTGCAATATATGATTAGTTATTGGAGCCCTGGTGATGCAGTATTTTGTTCTTTCTATCTGCATTTTCATGTATTTGAAAATAAAATAATTCTACCCCAGTGCTGCTTGTGGCATGGTATCGCCCATCAACAGGTTGTCCACCAGACTATACCACAATACTTTCGGGGGGGGGGGGTTAAAGCCTGTTGTGTATATAAAAATGCAGAAAATGGTGTCACCCATCTTTTGAGTTATGTATTGATACCGGCATGGTGGCATTACTGTTAAAATCGTGTCTGAAATCGTGAGCAATTGCTTTGGACACTACACCTTATATACATCCCGAGGGATGGGAATCTTCGATTTTTTGTGACTACTTTTTTCAACGATTTTAGCTAATTATAATGAGTTTACAAATGTGTATACCCTCAGATATCCATCTATCTGTATATATGTAGGAAATGTACATGACTATGTGACTATTATGTACGGATATCTGCAGTAGCTACTTAGCCTTGATCAGTGCCATTTACAGAATACCGATGGCAAGGCTAACAGCACTTTACGATACACGAACGGCTTAGAAAATACATTCAGAGTACACTTGTCACGAATCCCAACCCATTGTAGCTAGCTGTAAGAAATGCACACATATGCCCCCGGGCCCAACAATCATACCACTATCTCACTCGCTCCACCCGTCTGGTTGATTTAACCCTAAGCCGAAAACAATTGACATGTAATGAATTCCTGTAAATAAATCTGCTACTCTTCCCTTTCGGATCGAAAGAGAATCCCCAGTTGACAGAGTGCTGTACCGGCGAAACTGGCAATTCCACACTAGGCGCTACTTAGTCATGGGGAGTATTGGCGATATTGATTGGGTAGGTTTACTTCCCTAAAGCTGTGTTATCGCGTTATCTTGCGGTCGGAACAGAGAGGGACATGGGTGTCGATAATTTATGACTGTACACTCAGACTATCAGTCATCAGTGGTTACCGCTCAAACACCTGATATATACACGACTCAGGGCCCGAAATGCATTGGCAGGAATAGCCTATAGGTGCACTGGCGCACCCAACTTTAAAAAATGGCCCCAATTTTTGGGGGGTTCCCCTGGTAAGATAAATAAATAGAATGCCAGCAAAATTATTTCTCTTTCATTTCTAAAGAAAAGGACTATAAAAATGATTTTATTATTTTTCTGACACTTACATGTCAAGAATATCGCTGTATTCTTCTATTCATACATGAACCTATGAAAATATTTGGTTGCATCCACAGGAAAAGCTGGGTGCCCAGCTCAGAATTTGGATGCACTAAGTTATAATGCACCCAGTATTTCGAGCACTGCCTGTAAATAAAGCAGCAAATTGTGGATTTGTGTGATATTTCCAGTTAAGCTAAAGATAACTACTAAACTGTACTCTAGGTGTCAAAGTAACAAGTGCCTTATGTCTTGGGAGAAGAGATGATAAACCTGAAACAAAAGCACAACTCAATACTACGTATATGTATCGAATTCAAAAATTTACCTCTCTTTTCCTAGTATCTTTGCAGACGATTGGTTAGTACTTTAACCGTTTGACAAAACATATACTCTAGCAATAGATGCCTTAATGTCTGTAACTTAACAGCATAGCAGCCAATTTGACGATATAAAACCTATAACACTATGATAAGTATGTACTAAGAAGAGTCTAGAGACAAATTAATGCGCTGCACATATATCCATAAGCCATGGATGGCTTGACGAATAGACCAGGCTTAAAAGGTAGAGAGAATGACTACGAACTGAGGTAAATTACTGATGGTAATCGGGGAAATGGAGGCTGGTCACGCCACAAAGATCAAGAAAAAAAATCGTCGCGGAAGCAGTCGGATACGGGATCTTTAGTGAGAATGATTCTTTGTTACAACAGTATCATCAGTGTGGTTCTCTGTGATCTCACAACCAGCACCATAAAAACGGCTTTTTGAAATTGCTCCTGTCCTTGTCAATTTGTTACAGAATACTGAGAGTGATTTTTCAAACGGAGTAGTAATGACTTTACCACTGTAATCAGAAACAAAGCTGTCAGGAATACGCAGAATTGCCTTGGTGGAAAATTCCAATCAGAACCAAACCATTACCTGGCAATTGCGGAGGAAGCAATACGTTATACCTGAAGCGCTGCATCACAATCCCACTATATTCCGTCAGCGATGAAGAATAGTGTTAATGATGGCGAATTGCTCACATAATAGAAATTGCTGTCGTCTCTAGTAATATTGGAATTAAATATGCCAACATTCATCAGAGAATGCGAAGAGAGATGCACATTCATTGTCGTTTCGTGTACATGTTTAATAGCTCTCTAAACGCTTACAAACGACGTACACAGTAATTGAAAAGATGTATATTTTTGCTTACTGTTTATCATTGCTGACCCGATAAAAAAGAAAAACCGGAGGATTCATAATGTAATGTCTCATGTTCATTAATGTTTAGTTATTCCTCTATTATAGGCTTACATTTTTCTCAAAAGACAAGGGAATAGAGACAAAGTGAACATCTAAGTAAAAACATCATCATTCATCATATATACTATGAGTAGTAGTGCTCTTTGTTTTGACAGGTTTTCAATCTATTTATCTGTAGTCATTGGGAGGGCGGATTTACACTTTGCTTTCTAGCTCTGGTATTCTTTGTAGAACATCCCTAAAGCCTTTTTCTCTGTAACGGTTGTAATGAGAAAGATTAGAAGCTTGTACGGAGAAGCCGTGGGTAGAATTTTTGAGCTGGTCTGACTTCTGCAAGTCACGTGTTGTGTGACGTAGCGACACAAATCCCTGCCCCGCTTTCCGCGACTGTGGAGCGCGCCTTGCTTGCGCCTGCTGCCGACGGGTCGCCTGTCACCAACCGTCAATCAAAAGCCCACTTGCCGGCCGGCCAGCGGTGCACTGCCGCGAGTCCCTGCCCCAAGACTGGAAGAAAGTTCTGTCGTTGAAGTGAAAAATGGCGGGTGTTGCCTGGCTTGTTGTCTTGGTTGTGGCTTCAGCAGCAGTTCTGGATCATGGTAGGTGATTCATTATTTTTTGTGTTATAGTCCGTATCAGTTTTACATGTGTTCACTTACATTGGAAATTTCTCACTTAAATGCAATCAATTGTAAAATGTTATTTCGATACCTTTTGTATGTTGTAACATTGTCAATACATGTACGTGATGGAGTGTATCTTTTTTCCATGTAAAAAGCTTTTGAACACGTTAATGTCACTATGCATTAAGACCCCCTAGAGTCATATGATATGTCCAGTCGATATTATGATTTGCTCTCGAGATATTACAAAGTAGTGAAATCGTATCGGACTAAGTGGTCTTTTCTTCCTTTACGAGTTGTGTTTGCAAATCATGAAACGGTACATCAGATAGTCCAACGATAGTCCAATGCGATTCAACATTGCTTCTCGTAAAGCAGTTGGAAACATAAACTTGGTACGAATTTCTTGAATATCGCAATTCTCTGTGAAATAAATCTTCGCCGCGGCATGAGGTAACAGCTTTGTTTTACCATGTCGTAAATCAGCGCACCCTCCATACCGTCCATCACCGTCGCCTCCTGCAATCTCATCTGCCTGACTGACCCCCGATCTGATATACCGGTTCGATAAGAGTGTTTTTCTGTCGCAGCGGCCCCTGGGTCCCGCCCTGGCTGCCCTGCCCCATTGATCCAAAGCCTTCCCCTACGGCAACCTATTCTTCATCAAAGGTCTTACAGTAATGCATTCGTAAAGTAGAGATTTAAAGCTCTTTTTCCTGGTACCTGAGTCGACTATGTGTTCTTTATCAACAGCGTAAGCACTGGTTGCCACAGGCTAGCATAACAACTACATATACATAAAGATAGAGGCAGAGAGGTTGAGCTTTATGTATGTCTCCTCTGTGGAGGTAGATTCTAAAAAGGAAAGTCCCTCCATTTGTAGCTTTCAAGTAACGTTTTTTTTTTACTTTGAGGATGGATTTTTGATTGATTGCATGGGTGTACGTACATGCTCTATGTAAAATGCCAAGGTTGCGATCAAACCAATATTAAATGCACCTCGAGTGGGTTAACAGACTGGAGAGTACTTCTTTCATGCATGATGGATTATTGTATGAGTTTTCTTTGAAGTGTATCGTAAAACGTTCCACCAGAGCTGTTTGGTATCTAATAAAACTAATTTGGCTGCTGGGAAAACTGTTGCTTGAACCAAAGTGCCAAACTTGTACCGACAGTGGCACACAGTTTCCGATAAAGCATACTAATGGAACATTACCAAATATGGTCAAATGTCAAACTAAACTAGAAAGGTAACATTTGCAAAGCAAAGGAATAATGTTTATCTTCGCATATGGTATGAACGCTCTGTTGATTTACTCAAACACATTCATGTCTATGGCAAGTCAGGAGTCTAAATTCATCATGCTATTTAATTGCAACATGATGTAACCCAACACTAGTTACCATGGTGACAGACAGTATTGTTCAGGTCATTGACCTTTTTGGTTAGGAGAAGAAGAGGAAACAGAGCTAAAACAATATGTTTTCCTTTCCTTCCTACAGTTGCACCATAATGCACCAATTTGTGCCACAAAATTTTTAACATTTCAACATAAGGCTTCTTGATTTGTTGCATATAATTCTACCGTGGAAAATATGTGACATTTAAAATACCAAGATCGATCTTGCCACCGGTGACCGTTAAATCTCATAATTCGGGGTTTCTAGTTTGTAGAGAAAGATAAGAATGCCCTACTTTGGCAAATCTCCCCAGGGCACGCCATCGGCAACCGTGCACCATTGATTTGCTTTTATGCTTGGCTTGTTAGAGCATGTCACCGTTAGGGTTAGGGAGAGGCCAGCTTGCTCGTTACAATGATTCCGTACGGGTATGCAAAAACTAGTCATCACAGTCTAGTGAAGCTGCTCACCAAATCTGTTGGGAGATGAGAATCCTCATTATCTTAACAACAGTAAGTTAGTAAATGACCCCGTATTATCTATAACAATAGAAGAAATGCAATAAGAAACGTTCTTTAGTTTTTTTGTTTTTTTTTAATTTCACAAGTAAGACAAAGTACAGGACAAAGTGATAGCGCACTCAAGTTACAATACTTATTTTGACGCTACCACTTAATAAATGAAATACAAGGAAATAAGGGATAACAAAATGTGAAATGGTATAAAAAAAGTACAAAGATGTTGAAATGTTTATGAGCGCAGTCCGATTCCCCACCCAATGATGAAGTTGCCAAAAGCGTTAGCAAATATATTCCTTCTTGGTTTGGCTTTGCTAAGCATCGCCGCCTATCAAAGCCACTCACCAAATCTGTTGGGAGAGGAGAATGCTCATAACTTAGAGGCAATGATAAGTTAGTATCTGGCCCCGTTTAATCCATACCAATCGTAGGAATGCAATAAAAACATTCTTTAGCTGCCCCAAAGTTAACAAATCTACTGAGTAGACGACAAATGTTACAGAATGTCTACTCATCCGAAGTTTGTTACGTTAATGGCTGATAATTTCTAAGTCGTAATGTTTTCAACTTCATCACTACCAAATTACGTGCATGGCTCCAGTGCAAATGCCTTGTATCGGCATAGCCTCATAGCTGATTTATAGCCCAGCAAAAGCGAGCATCCATTACGTACGTCGTGCTTGTCGACCTGCGGCAACCCTACTCATTGATCGACAGCTTGAACCCTGGGGCTTGTCATTCGTCAAGCAGCCGTAACAGACGAGTGTTTCGTCACGATACAACTTCACGGAGTGTAGGCATGCATTGTCTCCGTCATTGGTAGTTGTTTTAAATCAAACCTGTGTGATAAGGAATGTATCAAAATATGGTAGCTCAGGAAAATCGCTATGAGTTGCATCTGCAACTAATACCATATATGTAATAGATCTTCAACATCAGATGTGGAGTTTCACACATTGTAAAAACGTGTGCGCTTGGATACGCTCCGCTTATTCCAATTAATGTTTATGCTGCGAGAAGCACCTACTAAGCATAAATAACCATTACTACAGTATAGCGGTACACACACAGGTCCTTATAAGCTTCTTCCGAAGTCAGCATCAATCTGTAAAATGCGGTTATGAATATCTAGTCTCATCAAGGGTGAATCTATAGGGAGGGTTTGCTTCTGTGAATTCTTAGTTTAGGTTTACGTGGATATCGTTGATTATCATATACTGCCTCAAAGGCTTAAAGTATCCGTGTACTTGCTCGACACATCTACGCTGTAAGGTGTTACGAATCGAAGCCATGTACTGTAATCATTGACTGTCTTGTCGTATGAGTTGATTGAACACCTTAGCTTGATATATCTGTATTATCAATCATCGCACAGCACATGAAAGATGGATAACACCCTGATGAAACACGAGACAACCGTGGCAGTTGTGATGGTGAAAGCCTCACTCACAGCACATGCATCAAGATCAAAAAATCGGATCAAAATCTCTCCCAAAATCTGTCCCCAAAGATCCCTGTAGATTCATTATATATAATCGTAAAGACACCAAAAATCAATCACTTATTAAATACCGCCACCACCCAAACTCATCAGCCACTCATTTGCAAAAATCTTCGATCAGCAGATCATTAATTCACATTCCACTAATGGTAATGGCCATTGGCACACCCCCATACCAAAAGATAGCTATAGGATTCTCTTATAAAGGAATGGGTTCTTTCCGATGCACAATCGATGATCGCCTAAAAGAGGTTTGCCTATCGAATTACAATGATACAGCTTGTTTTTGGAGTTTTCATAGAGATTTATCCCTCTATGGTATTGTAGCCATTGGCTATACTACAATGCTGTCAGCGTTTTTTGTACAGCATCTATCCCGGGACTGTGTTATATGCATTTTATAAAAGGATGTAGGTCTCATCTGACCCGGCCTGTTCGTAATATGTTCCATGTTTATGCACGAGCCATTGTGACACGTGTGTTGATGTATGTCGTAAGTTTCTGTAGTTTATGGTGCGGCGTGTCCCACGGGGTGCTAGGGCCGAGGCGCGGGTCACTTATCGCCATCCATATGCATCTCCCCACGGAAGGTCGCCATCTCTCACTGTGCCCGGGCCATCCATCAACGCACGGTTGCCGAAACGCGACGATGACTTACAAGCTCTGAGGGCTGTAAACCAGTGTAGAATACTTTGAAACTTCGTATCGAAGTATGGAGTCGACGTTAGAACTCGCTGTATCTGATTCAAGTTTCGGTAGGCAAAACGACGCTTGAATACAAATTTTTTCTCTAGGGAAGTTATGTATGTATACAAAGTCTGATCATGTTGCAATAGCCCTACATTCAATTTGGTTGGTTGGGTGGTTGGTCCAGTCTTTATACAAAAAGAAATGTCATGTTCATGTATTCCCGTAAAATGCAGTTTACCTCAGCAAAAAAGAGAGAATAGAAATAAATCATAACATAGTTGGTGGGGCACCATGTTTTGTCTTATGGCCGGCCTTGGACGTGAAAACTTGTAAAATATTGCAGTATGTCGATCAAATCCTGGTAACAGACAGGAACATCATTTAGATTTAGATCATGTGTCCGTTTATTACAGACAACATCCGGTAGAGCTTAGAAGGATTGACGAAACAGACACTTCCTTCTAAACCAGGGCGCAAGATTATCGGATATCATATTTCACAGTCTGTCGACGACGGCTTGATATGGGGAGTTAAGCCAAGTCTACTCTCCATAAAGATGTCAGACATCGGAGAAGGAATTACTTCAGCTTCAACTGGCGCCATTCAAGCCTGTAGCCGCTACAAATTGTTACAACCAAAAGTACATTGTTCGTAGGTAAGATCAGGACGAGAAGCTGATCCCACTGGCGCCACTGAGCATCACGTGGAGTCCGTTATCGGAGACTTTAACAAATCTCGCCTTGTCTTTCCGTTTTCGTGACAGCCATTTTGACTGTATTTGCACCTCAATGCCATATACCTGGATATTGTTGTCAATGCTCACACACGTCAAACTTTCTATAATTCTAGAACTCACCACAACAAAGTGACTAGGCACAAAAGTTTGTCATTGCCTCAGACTATTTATGTAAACAAATCATTTCACAAAGCACTACTACATTGTTTACAAGACTTAGTATCGTTAAATACTTTCATCAGGTTTTTAAATGATAAAGTTCGTTATTCATACCGACGTGTTCAATTAACAGCCGACGTTTCGATGTCAGTTTGTCATTTCCATCAGGGCAATTATGGCAAGTGTGCACTGTGCATTGCAGATGTTACTGCTAGCAATGAGGTTCAAAAGTAAAGCAAAGTAAAAGGTTCCCATCATTGTTAGTAGTTGAAATACCATAATTGATTATTTCTGTTTCCCTGGAAAAAAACTTCCACTTTTTATCATTGACATTGAGAGACGACACGGTGTTTCAACATTTTTGGCCTTAAGTATTTCATTTCAAAATCTTACCGCATTGCGGGGAATTTTCAATCATAAAGGCCGTACTGCCTCGTGGGCAATCTCTAAGTTAATAACTCTAGTACGAATGTCCCTGTAGATTGTGGCGTCGTGAGACTTCCGGGGAATGATGAATAATACTTGAACGTGCCGCCGAACACCTAATCACAAACGAATTCAACTGTAAACACACGCCAAAAACGCAGAGTGTTGACTAAAACCCCCCTCTATCAATCATTTTGGACAAGGAAATTGAAGTGGTTGAATTCCACTAATGGCTCGGGAACGGACAGTCCCGAATGTTGATAGCCGAGAGCAGGTAGAGAGCCGGAGATAGAACGTCATAAATAACAACGCACTTTTTGCCGTTCCAATGTGTGTTTTCATTAGGCTTTTAGTTTTATGGACTTTTCTTGGTTTGGCTGAGTACTGTTATCTCCCTAATGCGGTGGCGAAAGGACGCACAAACCATGTAAATGAGGTATTACTTGCGCCCTGAAAGGGAAAAACGTGTTTTATCGCTATCTTGTACCCACAGCACCAGAAAAAATGCCCCACTACCAATGCGTGGAAGATATATATACCTCGCTACCTGACTTGCATCGTTGGGTTTTACTAGTATACTAAAAATGGGCGGAAACATATTTCTTCTTCACTATGTATCTCACTCTAGGCTGCCTGGAAAAGCCAGGAAATAAGGCAGCTCGTCTAAACCTGTGAAATCACGAGATAAATTCAAAAGTGTGCAAGTTCCCCCGCAGCTGCATGATAAAAATGGTACATATAAAAAAAATGCCCACTTTTCCCTATTTTATATAGGTGTACCTTTAGCACCTGGGAAGATGAAATTGTCTACGATAGAGCGGCAACTGTGTGGAACCTGGTTATAGCAAGCTGCTGCGCTGCCGCGGTACTAAACTATACATAAAAAGGAACAAACGTGGCCCATTTTCTGCTTAGACAAGCACATTTCAATGAAACTCAAAACAAATTAATCGCTTGTGAAGTCAAATAATCCATGGAATCAGTGAATCTATCTGTACATTTCATCTGTTTCTTTCAAGTTCGTTGACCCTGCTTTGTTCAGCAATTGCAACAACTGCTACGTACGTCCCTCAATTGATGTAATAGCTAAAGCCCCCTATAGGGGAAACAGATGGGCGTGTAGCTGGTTGCTGTTTTATCGTAGAAAAAGCAATTCTTTGTTTATTAGTAACTATAAAGCCGGCAATTTAATGGCCACTTCCCTTTTAGATCTCGTAATATCTTTATAGATGCACATTTCGTTTTGACGTTTGCATTTGAAACGTACCACAAAGCGTACCGCCTGATCCGGTGGAATGGAAGAACTGGATTGCCCATCTGTCGTTTTTACCTAATGAGCTCCGAGCTACATCAGACGTGGGTTGGAACATCTGGATACTAGGCTGGGATAAAAACATGTGCAAGCTTCAGAAAATCCAAACCCATGGGAATGGATATGTTCACAACAACTGCTAACAATTTCAGACATCACATCAACTAAGTTTTAAAAGTAACATTAAATCACAATTGTTATGTACAATATAGACTCCCCCCACTGAAAGTAGTGTGGTATAGCCTTTTGGTCCATTGGCAGACGATACCATACCACATTGAGGATGTCATTTGACTTTTCTGATAGGTTCTTTGATTTCCCCCTAGACAAGAATAAAGACCTTGAAAACTCTAACATTGATATTATATTACATAAAGTCTTTAAATGTTTTATGTTTTTATACAAAATATTTGTTACAGAGATATTGATATCATATTTATAATATCCTTTAGAAGCCAATAAAAGAGAATTTTGTATAGGGTCTGCGTAGGATAAAAAAAACGTTACTTTACTTTAAAATGTGTTATATATCCAAGTAGCGGCGGAACAGAGAAATTCTTACCTTTTAAGATCTTTGTGATATTTTGAAAATTATATTTATGCTTTATGCAGCTGTAAATAGCAGGTATCAAAACTACAAAGGCGGTCATCAGGTCAAAGGCCTAGGCCTAGGACTGAAATTATTATTCAATTAAGTACAAAGTACAAATATCAAGTTATGATCTCCGAACACATCAAGACATAAACCAAACCGGTAATAAAGATACAAGCATTGCTATATAGCTAGAATGGCCTTTAGGGAAGGCCAGCCCTAATCTATGTACAGCACTTTATTTTCATGTCGAATTGGCTCGTGCCAGAATGTGTCTCACATCACCAATCACTAGTTCCCCCTGTTAACTGGTAAGTGAACTGCAATTGTACTGCAATAATGTTCATGTCCAAGGTTTGTATATCCAGCAATAATATTGTGCTTTTCTCTATTTCAGTTGAGTGTGCAAAATACCGGATTACCCCATCATCGACGTCTGTACTACAGGGACAGACCGTCATTCTTCAGTGCGCTTTCTACGACCTGACTGCAAAGGACATCGTCACATGGGATGGTCCTCCAAACTATGAGTCTATTGCGGTTCGTCGTATTATAAACCCAACATATTCACGACATCACATTGTTGGCGATGAAACAAAAGGTGTCTTCAATCTGCAGATAAGTAATGTTGAATTGAAAGATGGAGGTCAATATAAATGCGGTGCATTTGGACTGGGTTCCAAGGAAGCAACGCTGAATGTCATTGGTAAGCAATATATAGAGACTCTTACTCCTATTTCAGACATTTTACTTTTTACTAGATAAACACATATTTGACAAATGTTCATTAAGCAATAAGTATCCATTAAGGATGTTATAACCCCATAGGTAGTCATTATCTACCTTGTTTTTCCAGTTCCCATCCCCCGGCCCCCAGTCATCAAAGGGGCAGAACTTCCCGCTAAAGCCGGTCAGCAGGTGACTTTGTCCTGCAGCTCCGCGGGAGGTCATCCCCAACCAAGCCTCACCTGGTACAATGAGTCCAGGATATTCAAACACATGGAGGTAACCGATCTTTTAGGCCACTGATTGTTTATGATCCTGTTCGGTTTTATCTTAAACTTACAACGTTTGCTTACACAAGAAGCAGAAATTAGCCATTAGTAACAGATCACACTGGATATTATGTCTCCAAGACATTTACGTAAATGTCAAATCATCCAGATAAAATGCTAGAGTAGTTGCCCGCTAAGGGCTCAGTGCTGTTTGCCGCAATCTGCTCTTTCCAGCCGGTTCTGATCGAAGACTGATAAAAGCTATGTAGAAGGTCATATGCAAAGCCATATGCAAAGTTGGATGTCGGACACTTCGGCACCTGGACACTTCGGCACTTGGACACTTCGGCATCAGGACAGTTCGGCACCTGTACACTTCGGCACCTGCACCCTTCGGGACCTGGACAGTTCGGCACCAAGCTCAGTACGGTTCGGCACTACGAGGACAGAATGCTACTGCTGCCGTGCTGGTTGCTGAACCGTTCTATGACTTCCAGCGAAGATAGTTATTATGTAAAAAAAGGGGGGTGAAGAAGCCATCCAATATGTTATGCAGAACAGATACCCAAACCTGTTATTATTTCATCATTGTGGCTAATAAATGAAAACAAACTTTGAAAGTTGTAACAGGACAGACATATTAAGGTTATAGTCTGTCACTGGTTAATGTTATTTTGATGCAATATCCATCTTTGTAGACTGTTTACCATTAATGTTTTGAAGTTTTTTCCCGCGCGTGGGACACCTCCCTAGCAATAGTAGCTAACAACACTGGGACCACAACACTGCCCCTTCCATATTGCTTTTATTGCTGTACAACACTGAGCTCGAGTCGTTGCGTACTCGGACGTAGTAGTTAAAGAAAAGATATGGGATAGTATGTCTTTCGTTATTGGGGGGGGGGTAGGGTCAGGTAGATTAAACACCGTTTCACAGTAATGTATCGGGCTGTCCAGGTGCCGAACCGTCCTGGCGGCTGGGTGCCGAACCGTCCTGGTGGCTTGGTGCCGAACCGTCCTGGGCAAGGTACTGAGCCGTTTTGGGCCAGGTGCCGAACCGTCCTAGATGGTGCCGAAGTGTCCAGGTGCCGAAGTGTCCAGGTGCCGAAATGTCCTGATACCTGCAAAGTTTATGACGTTTAATTTCAGGTTATTCACCATGAAAGTGTTGGTCGTGCTGTGGTAGACTTGATTCTGCCGACCCTGACGAAATGGGATAATGGTGTCAACTTCACCTGCACAGCTGACCAGGGGTATCCTCAACTCACCCACCCCAAGTCTTCATCAGCCATTTTGTCAGTTCATTGTAAGTAAAAAATATCTAATATGTTTTCGATTGAGGTTAGACATCCAGTTCATGAGATACACAAGAAAAACAAAGGTTAGACTTTTAGTTAATGGAATACACAAGAAAAACAGAGGTTAGACGCCCCGTTAATAAGATAAACAAGAAAACAGAGAGAGTGTTGGAAAGGATTAGAGGCAGAATTTCTGCCCACCAGTGCATTATACTCCCACAGTTAATCAAAACTTTCTAAATGTCTGACTGAAAAGCAAGTTGATCACATTTCGTGGATGTCTCAATATGATTAACACAATTTCTTTAGTCAATTTAATTTTTTTGTGTTTCCCACAGACCCCCCTACAGTGATAGTTCCCCAGACGTCCGTCCATGTGCGGGAGGGAAGTCCTGCTAACCTGTCCTGTATGGTGGACAGTAACCCTCCGGCAACAGTCACATGGAGAAAACTCGGACATGGTCTAGTCATGAAGGGAAAGAAAGGGTAAGACGCTTCATTTCCTGACAAGGCCGGTGTGCTTATAGTGGCAAAGGTTAACATAAATTATGTCGGAAAAGGTGATCGAAAGATAAAGGCAACTGCATAATGCTCATTTAAACTGTACTTGTAGCAATGCTCTACACCGACCATGCATGTTGCTAATCTCATTCATTTTCTGTCGAATTGATTTAATGTTTTATTGTAGGAAGTCATATTTTCTTCTGTCACTATACCTCACCCTTGTACGTATGACTTTTCATTAATGGGAAGAAAAGTCGACATAAATGTGTCTTGGGAGAGACGTATCTAGTAGATTTGGCGATTCTACCAGTAGAGATTTCAAGCCAGTCCATTGATCTAAAGTGACATCAATCAAAGTTGAAAAGTTCTGACTGCCTTTTAAACATCCTAAAAGTTAGTCCGATCAGAATCTCTACTGGAAGATTGATTGGAACCTCCACCTTGACATATGCATTATGATGACTATGAGCCACTCTCACCATTCCATATCCAGGAACAGAGGCCAGACGATGTCCCTACCTAAAGCCTCCCGCTATGACAGCGGAGTGTATGAGTGCACAGCTGACAACGGGGTCCTCCCTCATGGGATGGGGACTGCCACTCTAGATGTGCAATGTAAGTACCCATATAAAACTGTCACCATCTAATGGATGCATGGAATCAAAAGAGCATTCTAGGTGCTACGATCCCACTTTATTAAGTGCCTCTGACAAAACTATGCTCTTCCCACTTCGTAAAGCAAACTCGAAATGAAAAAGAAGATTGCTTTACTATTTTTTCGCAGTACAACAAATGTACAGACTAGCTGGAACCTAGTATTTAGGATGCAAAATGTTTAATGCATATGTAAAATCGGGTAAATATACAAGTATTGGATAATAGTATGTTTCGAAATATATTTCTACTAAAATATTATCTATTTGCAACATTTAAGACTAATGTTGATGCAATACAGAATATCTCATATTAAGCTAAGACTTTACAAAGTACCAAATTTTGTTGTATATTTTGCTACTTGGTTAGACGCACCATGGATCGACCCAACGATGGATGACGAGATTACACTCATGCACGATCAAGAAGGCTTCAAGTTGCGGTGTTTGGCGGACGGAAACCCCAAACCTCACATCCGCTGGCGGCGGAAGGATACAAGTTTGTACTGGGAAAACCCACTTCGCTTCCACCGGGTGCGTTACGACGTGGAGGGGACGTATCAATGCGTGGCAACAAGTGACGGGTTTCAGGAAGTGACCAAGGACACATTCATAAACATTGTTGGTACGTAAGCGCATCCGCATGATTTCCTCGTCTTGTAATATATAAGCCTTACCAATGCTTTTACATTTTCTGGCATAATTGTAGATGATTAATGAAGCAGATTGTATATTTGAGTCGTCTGCATATAGTGTTTAATGCTAGTAGTTCAGCCTTCAGTATTCTAGACGTGTTTTCATTGTTTGCCATCTAGTACATTTCCCTATCCTTGTGACACCATGACGCCATGCGATAAATGTTCAAAGTACAGCAAATCATTAAGTAGAGCATAAAGAATCAAGGCAATGCAATATGGTATAATGACTGTAATGGCTTCATATTATACTGGCGTGACCTTCTCTTTAAATACAAGAAAATAAGGATTCACCGATGGTAGTAAATTCTGGTTTATTCGGGTAATGCTTGCTTTCTAAACAGTACTGAAGTCAAATCAGGCAATTCCGTTTGCAACCTACGGTATGTCCTAAAATAGCTGCCTTTTATTTACAACCATTAAAAATTTTGCGACTCAACGGGAATTTACTACCGGTTGTAATTTTTTTTTCGCATTTACTGCATAAAGGGCGGCCACAGCTTCTGGGCGAAGAGTCTGTATCTGCCACGGCGGTGGCCGCAGGAGGAACCGCCAGGTTCGCCTGTGACATCATGGCGGACCCCATGCCGGACAGGATCATCTGGCTATGGCGGGACCGCGATGGAATAGAGAAGGAACTGACCGTGGCATCGGGCGAATTCATTGCGATCAGCAAGAAGAGAGACACAGATACTAAATCATCATCTAGTTCTCTCACCATCAAAGATGTCAGCTACAACAATGAAGGGACGTACATCTGCAGAGCAAGTAACATGTTCGGTTCCGTTCAGCGGAACTTTCAGCTGCAGCTAACAGGTCAGTGGTTTTGCCAACGTAATGACATGTTAATCATCAATCGCTATATTTTGATCGTGAATCATTTGTGTTCAATCTTCATTGTTGTAGAATCCTTACCTTAGACCTTGCCTTAGGTCCTCCTGTGCGTACAGGCACATTGGGCAGCGAGCTTCCATCTTGGCCGAGTAGCTGCTGCTTCCTCAGCCTCTTTCCAGACAAGAATGTCATGTAGGATATTCTAATTGACACCGCCAATGTGCGTACCTGAGACATCAGTTCAGTGATTGCCATTCTATTATCTCAAAAGACGAGGGTAGCACTCTGCATCTATGTCCTTGTATAATGTCTTGTGAGATTTATCAGCCTTATCATCAAATGGCAGTCTCGGACATAGTTAGGGCACAAGAAAGTAGTGGAGATGTTTTGTGGTTGCCGTATCTTTTTGGCGCTATGACTATATATCTGCTTGTAACGTTTTGCCTTTCTTCTTCATATGCCAACCTTGACTGCAGGTTTGCCACCACAGTTTGCTGCATGCAAGCTGTTCCCAACTGGCTGGGTCTATGCCAGTTCACCCTATTGAAAATGATATTATTCAGGAGTGTAGTGCTCGAAGGCATTAGTTTTATTAACAGTCATACCTATTCCCTATCTGTAGAATCAGACCATCTTCCCGCTGTCATCATAGCGACCACAGCCGGCATCGTTCTTGTGGCGACCATTGTGATTATAGGAATCGCCGTTGCTAAGAAGAAGGGGCTGATATGCATCACACGGCCTCCAGGTGAGCTCCTAAAGGTAGCCGATGCATTTTCAGGGCGGCATTATTGGATTTTCAAGGTCAATTTCTAGTCATTCTTTTAATATAGAAAGCTGCTAGATAAACATCTCATAGCATACTGATACCTGTGACGCAAACATGCAATGGTGACGAAAAAAGGTTGTACATTTAGTAAATGTTGCTGACGGAAAACGGTTGTACATTTAGTATAAACGTTAACGCGCATTCCCTTATAGTATTTTGTCATACTTTCTTATTATTTTGTCTTAAAGAACCTCTAGGTGTTTCTGCTCCCCGACCGATGCCGCCGATACCGAAGTACGGCCGGAAACGTGGCCATGGCACGAACGACTCCGGTGTGGAGGACCTGGAACTGCAGGAAGTGGACGGCACCATGAAGCCACGCCCTCCGCCCAGGGTAGACAAAGAGTGGAAGGCTGTGGGGCTAACTTACACAGGTAGCTATGCTGTATTGTTACCTCCGGTTTTGTATATTTTTTTTTCTGGACATGCTGTGGTGGCAGCTTTTCGTGTCAGGAACAAGTGATGCGGACTTGCCCCCCTCCCCCCTTTAACATTTTGTTATGGAACTGCAGGAGAGTTTCAGGCGAAATTTTTCCAGAATTCTCCACGCTGTGTATAAGTAACTAAATAATTTTACATTTGATTGCCGTGTGTACAGAATCAATGGCCTACATGTACATGCTGCTTGTAACCGTAACGAGAAAAGAGGCAATCATGGTAAAAAAAATATAACAAAGATACATTTTACATTATAAAGATACCTAATAAATTTATATCTACGTATACATGCATACTTTAGTCTAAAAACACCCTGGATGTAAAAACATATGCTCTGTGTCTGTGTCCTCCAGGTCTGGTTCACAGTACTTCCCTCCCACCCTACTCCACAGTGGAACGTCATCGTCCCGACGGGGAGGACATTGGTGATCCCGCTAATTACACCGAGGAGGTACGTACGTGTACGTGGCCTCTCCCCGCATGGCCTGCTCGCTAGAAGCGGTCCCACCTCCCTCCTCCTTCCATTACCAAAATTACGACGCATAATAACAGTTGGTGTTTGCTTTTATGGCAGCAATGGGGCCTGCTAAGTAGCAGGGTTTTATTGAAGATGGGCTCCTAAATTTTCCCTATCGAATGTAACAAAAGTAGTAAGTTAAGCCTATTAATATATCACAACTAATACACCCAAGAGACGGTTCACCTCTGCCTTACATAACACAGGTAATAACCAGGTATAGTGTGTTGGTATACCATAGTAAGGAAAAAAGCTGTTACCGCATCATTGAGCACGCACATTTATCAACATTTACAAACACATAAGAAAAATGAGAAAATAATCTGGGCCTCCTAAAGTTAATCAAAACAATATGGTTTATCTGTATGCTTTGACATTCAAAACTATTCCTTATGGTTACTTATGTATATTCTGTGTAAGCCAAAGAGTAGGTAATATTACACATTGCAAGTAAAATATGCTCTTCATTACTATTCCAAGAATATCCTATACAGTGCATCTAATAGCACATGAAGATTGCAGGGCTGTCTTTCTTGTGGAGGGTTTCACCTAATTCTGTTGATAACGAAGCGAAGACATGGCTCGACACGGAGATTTATGGGTGGTAGCTAACAGAGCGGTCCAATGACAGGCAAATACTGATCCCAGGACCCTATGACATTTTATGATGGATGACTATATCATGACCAGACCAGTACTAAAACACATGGACGCTGCACACGCACACATGGCTTTAAGAAAGCCCTTTCCCATCCCACGCCAGTGACACTAGAGGCCACGTAGCAATGTGTTTCGCCCACGTTTGCCATTCTAAATGGAATTAAAGGCATCTATTCTTTAGGGTATCTTAGCCTTAATTGGTGATATTTTTCTTTGGGCGAGACCAAATGTCAATAGATATACAAACTTCATAATGTTTGCCATGAATTCACTCAAGTAGATGTATTTTTAATCCGTATAGTCCATTAAAATGTCAAAGCTTGAGGTACTTGCTTAAACATGCAGAATTATTTCAAGTTACTGCTTCGTAATGAGGCAGTTTTGTGTTGAATTCCACAACGTATGAAGTTTTCTACCATTTCGATTTTTTTTCATTGTTTCAAGTTTTTATTTGATTGTTTTTTTTTTCATGTAGACGCACAATTGGTATTCATATTTTGAATAATATGTCTTCCTTAATGTTCTTTAATAATTTTTCCATCAGGTTGGAGAGTTTCTTTATTTGTAACCACTTGTCTACTAGCATATTATCATAACAGCAGCTGGCGTTTCAATGACCAATCTGTCATTTTGCTCTGATGTAGATGACATTTATCGAAGCTTCGGCTTTTACAAAACAAGTGGATGTAAATATTTTTTTTCTATTTTCCTCTGATCTAACCAAAGCTGTGCATGATGTTTTGCAGCAGACCGTGGGTCAAATTCCACCTCCAGTGGACCAAAGAAGCCAGAAGAGAACATCAGCAAGACGCAGCATCTACCGAGGCTCGGAGTTGGAAGATGTGGCTGACGTTGACAATGAGGTCCCATGAGCATCTGCATCTGTTCATATGCCATCTGCCAGATGTGTTTATATTGGTTTTGCTCAGAACATCGGTAGACTATATTTGGATTGTGGTTAAAATCTAGTTTGTAAAGTTTTTGCATAATTCCGGGGTGTGTGAAATTGAAATTTCTTAATTACAAGATCACCCCGAAACTAATGATATTAAATTAATCCCCTGAACAATAACAGCAATTATTTTAAGAAGCTACAACTGCCTATGGAACTAATTTAATTCCAATTTAGTTATGCAACACTGCACGGCGCAATTATCATCATTGTACAGTTATTTCAATTTAGTTAATTTTTCATTGCAATTTGCCTTACTGTTATAGTACCATTTGATTTATTTTGAATTTGCGATATGTTTGCAAATATCACTGAATACACCTAGTCTTTAAAATTTCATGCTTTATTTTGAATAATTTAGGATCGCTTAAATTCATATTCCCGGCTTCTTAGATTTTATTCTGCAGAGTTTGATAAATAGAAACATCGAATGGAATATCAAATGAATCTAAATATGTAGTATACATACTCTGACCAAGCCTGTAACAGCAATCATTTGTTTGAATGATGGCAAAGTTCCCTTTCGATGGGATATTTGTCAGAGGAATTTGGAGTCCTACAGGTATGTTTTAACGACTGTAGGGTATAATCCGTCCCCAAAGTGCCACTATCCTGATACTGCAACATGTGATGTTTTCTCTGAATATATGGTAGCAATGCTCGTTTCCAGATGGTGATGCCTTGGGCACTTACATAATCTATTTATGCTCCTATATCGTTTGATATACTGTTTGATAGACTGCACTTTCTAAGACTACCAGATGAAGTTGGTAGGTAAAATAGTCCAGGATGGGAGCATTTTGTCATCGTCGGATGTTTTTATAGTCCATTTGCTTCATGCTGATCGTCCTGTCTTCATTCTTAACGGCCCTAAAGAATAGCCGGGATCCATTAACGGAATTTCCAGGAGCCTTGAGCAATAAGAAATCTTCAGCGCGGAAAGCCTCCTGGGGATTGTATCCACTTTGAAAGAGATCTTAAACTAGGAACGAAGGCGTTTTTGTGCACTTGCCTACAAGGCATTAAAGGCATTCATTGCGATTTCAGGGCAGCAAAATTGGAAATATTCTGAAGAAACAAAGGCAACCTTTGTGACATTGACACATACTGCTTCACATTAGCACATTTGAATCAGCATTTCATAACTTATACGCTTAAAACAGCAGAAACAGGTCCCAATACGAGTCCTTTATTCTCTGGGTCCTTAGACCTTAGACGTTATTTTCTGGGTAGTACCCTAAAAATCTGAGTTTTTGCTCCATGACAGTTAAAATACATTCTGACCGTCTGGGTTCAGCTCACTATGTAGATAAATGACTGGAATATTGGGTTGAAAAAAAATCGGGTTTCCAAGCCTCCAAAATGGAATCGGATGCCTTTAATTCCGAACACGTCGTCTGTACCTGAACATTTTGAGACTTTGGAGATTCTCAAGTCAGATTTGGTTGTACGACATTGACGTTGTTATGTTCACTACTGCATCAAATTGTACTATTAACCATCTAGTGGAGTACGTCAAAAGGCCTACACATAGCCGCTTTGCGTCAGAATCTTGAAAATAAAATGTAAGCTTCTTTCGTAGGTTCCCCCAACAGGCTTAAAGGCAAAATAAAATAAAAGGAACCGATTATATACGGAGAGGCACGGGGTGTGTGTTTTGGATGGCACGAGATATTGAAAGCCAAATATGAACATTACACAACATATGTCAGTGCCATTTTATATGTAAACCGCATACAACTGTAAATGAGGACCCCAATTGAAACTTGTAATAACTGTACGTGGTGATTTATAGTCGTGTCTGCGCGCTGATTATAGCTCACAATAGGGAGATTCATGTACATTTACTGACTGAGACCAGCAAAAATCAATCATACTTAGTCTAAATAATGGAGTCCAAGTTTGCATGTACGCTCTGTACAAAGTGCAATTATAGCGTATCCATTCACTGAACGTCTGGTGAAAATCATTGAAATTGGAACAGATTTGTACAGTTATGTGAAGTGTGAACATTTACTTGACTCAATTGTAAACCAGATTCACAGCTAAATATGTTCGTCTTTCCGTGATCTTGGAGATTTAAGATACAGATTTACATCGCTACACATGAGAAAATAAACATGTATGAACCATATCACAGACTGACTCGTATTGCAATCTATCTTTAGTATGCATGACTATCCGCTGTATGAGAGCATTGGAAGGTGCTGAGAGCAGATTTGTAACTAATGATTATCTCTTGTCGACCATCACATGCAGTTAGTACCCAATGGCAATTTGAACCATGCAAGATGCTAGTAGATATAGATAATTCCAATTGATCATGGCCCTTATCTGTTGATCATATTTCTGTAAAGCTGGACCCTACGACGCCTGTATTGGGCAGCCATACCACGGTCATGAAAAGAAAGAATGCAAAGGAGAAGGTGGCTATATAAATCCCTTCTGCTTTAAGTCCTCTTATGCTTTTGATCAGCTTTGCTTAAGTGTAAAAGCGTGGAGAAACATATCGCTTCTTTGACAGGTTTCATTGAAGTCCGCTTTTGAACCATTAGGGTTCTTTGCATGCAAAAGGCAGTATTGGCAGTAGATGTATGATCCGTCTGACTTCTAAGGGCAAGCTTTCGAGTATTGAGAAAGCTTCGGGGGGTATGGATGTTGTTCATTAATTTTGAAGCATCGCCATTTCCTTGGGACTCACTTTAAGGAATGCGATTTAGAAGCTCCTAAAGGATTTCCACTAAATCTTCATACGGCTCGGTAGAGAGCAGTAGTCTGTCAAATGAAGCAGCCTGAGGAGGTCCGAA